AAAGTGGCCAAGGTTGGAGACCCCTGCTGTAGTCTGTTTCAACCTGGAGTGGGGGGATGATGGGTGATTTCTTTGGGGGCTGACCCCTTTTTTATTTATTCAGGGCTTTGAGAAGCTTAGAAATGGCTAAAAATGGGCATATAGGCTTCTCTAAAGGTTGCTGCTTAGTCAGGTGTGAAGTAGGGGAGGGGGGGTGTTTGTGGTACTTTGTGGGTCCCTGCCACGCCCCATTGCATCGCATGATGGGGAAGATCGACTTTATTTTTTCAAAAAACTCTCAGAGTTATCCTGAAAGCATAATTATAAACCTGTATCTGGTATAATATTGTGCTTTCTGTGACGTCTGTGGGGAGTTTTATTCCTGCGGTTGGTAGGAGTGAGCATTGGGGATCGGATGGATGGATAGATGGATGGATAGATGGATGGATCAGGAGACCATGGGAATGCTGCAACAGTTACAAGTGTAAAGTAAAACTGGTCATACGTCACTTTCCAGTGCCAGTGTAACTTTGAATGGTCACTAAGTGAACTTAGCCAAGGACTACCTGTACTGTATAAGTAACTCAAGGTGGCAAACATACATCATGTTCCTTCCTCCTCTTATTTTCCCCACAACAAGAACCACGAGAGCTGGGCTAAGAGAGAGGGACTGTCCCAAAGTCACCCAGCTGGCTTTCATGCCTAAGGTGGGACTAGAACTCACCATCGCCTGGTGTTTGGCCCAGAGTCACCCAGCTGACTTTCATGCCTAAGGCAGGAGTAGAACTCCCAGTCGCCTGTTGATTGGCCCAAAGTTGCCCAGTTGACTTTCATGCCTAAAATGGGACTAGAACTCACCATTGCCTGGTAATTGGTCCAACTGGCTTTTACCAACAAATGAATTTACCAATGAATTTGTCAACAAATGAATCCAAAATAATCATGCAGGATTATTTTAATATAGCAAGTATGACACATAGAATGATACTAACATCTTCCTGTATAGTGTTTGTACCTTCTTAATGTTTTGGCCTCTTAAATGTGTTGGTATAGGAACAAAGGCTAACAGTGATTCATAAACTGGTTTACTTACATTGTTTTCCTTTTGTTGGTTAAGAAAAAAGCATGCTGAAATGTGATTAGCAGACAAGAGACTTGAATGTCATGATTGTCGACATCATGAGCCAGAATGTGCCATAAATGTTTCTCTTTGGCATGTAAACAAAGCAGATATCCTTCTGCCAAATAACTACTGACACAGAAAGCAATTTTCTTCTTGTGCTAATGTGTTTACTTTATGAAAGGTCACAAAGTTACTTGTTTCATTTTGGCTTCAATATGTCTGAAGACAAGTAGAGTCTGTGTTTTTTTTACGTGTACAATAAATTAAGGCATGGTGCACTTTGTTAAACTCACAATTGTGATTTCCTGATAAGAATGAAGCTTGAGAGACTCCTTGTTGTTACTGATAGAATGCTAAAGTATTTTGTGGGTTGAACTCCATATAAAAAAGAATCTTAAGGGTGCTAGAGGGATGAAAGAAATGTAGCTTTTTTAAATTGGCACTTGTGTATTCCATACCTTTATGAATAAATCAGAGATGATACCCACCCTGGAGGATTTTGCTACTACATCAATAGCTATCACTCCGTTTATCTGTTTTGATTATTAAGTTTTCTTCATGCTTTTTATACTATATAAACCACAACAGGTAATTGTGCAATTTCAAAGAGATACATTTGTAAATATACAAAGAATAGAAAGCAGTAGGTTGGGCTCTGCAGAGGAAAGTTTGTTCCTTTTCTAAATATGCTAGTCTCTTTCTTTGATTTATTGTATACTGATAAAGATCAGTAGGAAATGTAATTTGCAAATCTTAAGTAAAAAAAATATGTTACAGTACTTTTCCATTTGGTTTACTTTTCATTTCACAGCTATATTTTAAAGAAGACTAAGGCGTTTGTTTTAATTGTTTGAAAATTTCATAGCGATGGTTTTTTTAAAAGGGAGAATTTAAAAGAATTAAGGACTTCCTGCATACAGCAGTAACTAATAAACTTTCCTGAAGTTGCAGTGTGAACTTGGAGTTTACCATTATAGAATAAGAATTGGAAGGGACCTTGGAGTTCTTCTAGTGTATCCACCTGCTCAAGCAGGAAGTGCTGAAAGTGTTCTAGCATTTACACATGAAATAAAGATAGAGTGTCATGGATATTAAGTAGACTTAGCTTGATCATTATGATCCATCTATGCATATCATGCAGGGTAAACAAGATGACAGAGATAAGCTCTGTTACTGTACTTTTAAAGCCCAGAACTTTCAGATATCATCCACAAGTGGCCAACCCCTTTCCTAATTCACTAAACTATATGAAGAAGGAGATATGGCTGAGTTGCTTGATTCTCCTATAGACAATCTCAATAAAACAATAGATGATTCGTCACTGAAGGCAGAGACTAGACATCCACTTGTCAGAAACGGTAAAGAGTCTCCTGCTTGATCAGGGGGTTGGACTAGATGACCTATAAGGTCCCTTCCAATTCTGTTGTTCTGTCATTTTAGCCTTCCTGGGGAGTTGGTTTTTTATCTGGTCTAGCTAGTGAGGCTGACACATATATGGCCCCAAAACCTGGAAAAGACACCATACGTGCTTCTTATTTAGATGATGAGGTAAAATAAGGTGGGTTGAAAAAGCAGTCATGAAGGTAGAAAGTTAAAAGACTGTCCATCTGATATTTGTTGTTGCTGTTTAAAAGGATGTATTTCCTTCTTCCTTTACAGAGAGTGAATTAAATATCTTCCTTGCGGACCAAAATGAGCCCTACTTTAAGCCTAAAGTCAAATTACTATTAAGGTAAATGCAGCATACTGGAATTGTTCCAATGGATTTTGTGTGCTGTTCATTCTATGTATTTGAATGTTAAATGAATCTTGCTATAATACTCAGGTCTCAAAGATCTGTTTTGTAATGCTCATATGGGGAATTTTCTGCAGCCTCAAAGATGATTACAGTAATAATTCATGATTTATCTAACTCATAGTGATGTTTTACATTCATAATGAAGCCGAACGCTACATAACATGAACTAAGCCCTTTTTTGAAGACAATGTACCTTTCAATAAATGTGCTCAGAGCTGTACATGCAATATATACATTGGCATTTCTTTTAAAAAGTATTAATGAGCCAACGGTTTTCAGAAAAATATTGTTGATTATTTTCAGCTTGCTTGTTGCGCTTTCTGATGTGAAACAGTATGTAAATGGGGCAGAGGGGATGTGGCCATTTTTAGAAGCATAAGATAAACTTTTCTCTTTGAAGACTCTTTTTGGAGGATGAAAATTTCTGTTCTCTGAACTAATCCTGAAATGTGAAATCATTTAAGATTTAACCAGAGCTACAGAATTTAGGAAGGTACAGTGCTGAATATTATTTTGTTAAGATTTTACCCTGAACTAGAACAAGTGTATGTAAGGCAGCATATATAAGTGGCATTTCTTTCAATTTTAGTTTTGATATAGCATACTTGGTACTTTTTAACTTTTGTTCCCTTAATTTTAGGGATGTTGTGATAACCAGTGTAGTTCCTGGTGATTACGACGGTGACTCACAAATGGATGTCCTTTTGACAACTCGTCCAAAAAACCAGCCTAATGCTGACCTATCAGTCTGGATTTTCTGGGGAAATAATCAAACTTTAGGTAAGCTATATTGCAGTGATAATATCCAGAAAATATTGATTGAGTTCTTCTACAAAGCAGCTATAAATATCCCTTTTCTGAGGTGAATGTGAGAGGTGAATGTACTTTAACTCAGTTTACACATAAAGGTTTTAGTCCTTGGTGCTCTCTGAGCTTGCTTGTTTTCTTGCAGATGTTTCATTACCCAACTAGGTAACATCATCAGAGCTAAGTCAGGGTTTAATTGTTGACTCTCCCTGGGCACAAGAGATTATGTAATAGCGGAAGGCCATGTTGTAGCCAAGAAATATGTAATATCTCCTCATACCTCCATTTTGATTTAGCTGAAATTCTAGAAGCATGTTGCTCAACCTCAAGCTAGAATACCCCTGCCTGAAAAAGAGTCAGGTTATGTTTAATAAATTCACCGAAGAAAGAAAAAAAAGTTGATATCTGAAGAAGAACTAGACATAGTAGACCACTACATATATCTTGGCCGATGCATCTTGACAGAAGGTGATACAAGGTGCTTTAGAGATATTAAGAACATCTGTTCAGGGCATGGTGCTTTTATGGCCTATTGTTATCAATCAAAGTAAAATCATGATCGAAAGGATAAACACTTCACTACAGGAAAGCATATTGGACGTTATAGTCTGGCCCCCTTTAAGTATTATGACTGTAAATAAACAGATCTATCTTCTGTTCCTTCAATTTCTTCATTTCTCCTACTCCCTCAGATGAAATAGGAGAATCTCTTGGACAGTTCCATTTTCCTCAGGAATAGGAAGAGGATTCATTTCAATCTGGAGTAGATACAAGGAATCCTAAGAAATAAAACCAATAGTTGAATGTATATAAATGTGAAAATGTAACAAATGTGACCCCCTTTTTTCTTTTTGTCTTTCCCCCCCAGATATAAATCGTAAATTTGTAGCAAATAAGACATTTTATGATGAACCATTAATCATGGAGTAAGTACATGCTTATTGTGAGATTTTTTTAAGAGCGAAATTATAGGTTGATACCATTTTTATCTGATTTTTTTTTAAAAAAATAAACGAGATTGGATAAAATTGGTGGTGTAACTTGAATATCCAACTTTTTTTGGTTTTGTTTTGCTGCTGATGATGAAGTTTCAATGGTGATTTAATTCCTGACATCTTTGGCGTTACCAGTGAATCGAAAAGGCCAGAAATACTGATTGGCAGGTAAGCTAATTTCTTCATTACTGTTGCATCCTAAGAGTTTGCTATACAGATGGTCCTCGACTTACAATGGTTCATTTAGTGACCATTCGAACTTACAACGGCACTGAAAAAAGGGGCTTACGACCGTTTTTCACACAACCATTGCAGCATCCCCATGGTCGTGTGATGAAAATTCAGACACTTGGCAAATGGCTCGTATTTATGACCGTTGCTGTGTCCCAAAGTCGTGTGTTCATCTTTTGCGACCTTCTGACAAGCAAAGTCAATAGCCAGAGTTCACTTAACAACTGTGGCAAGAAAGGTCATAAAATGAGCCAAAACTCACTTAACAACTATCTTGCCTAGCCACAGAAATTTTGGGCTCAAGTTATAGTTGTATCTTGGGGAATATCCATACAATAGTTCTAATACTTCTAATTGAGAGTTGTGTATTTTTATGGAACCAAACTTTGGCTATAAATTGATAATTAACTGAAAAATTGAATTGTTGCAAGGCAATTGTAACCTATGGTTCATATTTACCGAGGATAGTCCTCGGTTTAAAACCACATTTGGGACTACAAATTCTGTTGCTAAGTAAGTCATGTCACTTTTGCCATCTGGTCATTTAGAGTAGATTAGATTAACAGAGTTGGAAGGGACCTTGTAGGTCATCTAGTCCAATCCCCCTGCCCCCCTGCCCAAGCAGGAGACCCTACACCATTTCTGACAAATGGCAATCGAATCTCTTCTTGAAAGCTTCCAGTGATGAAGCTCCCACAACTTCTGAAGGTAATTTCTGTTCCATTGGTTGATTGCTCTCACTGTCAGAAAATTTCTCCTTATTATTGAATCTCTCCTTGTTCAGTTTCCATCCATTATTCCTTGTCTGACCTTCAGGTGTCTTGGAAAATAGATTGACCCCTTCCTCCTCTCTGTGGTAGCTCCTCAAATATTGGAAGACTGCTATCCTGTCTCCCCTGGTCCCTCTCTTCCCTCGACTAGCCAGGCCCAGTTCCTATAACTGTTCATTGTATGTTTTATCCTCCAGTCCCCTAATTATCCTGGTTGTGCTTCTCTGCTCTCTTTTTAGAGTCTCAAATCTTTTTGATAGTGTAATGACCAAAACTGGATGCAGTACTCTAGGTGTGGCCTTACTGAGGCTTTACAGAGTGGTATTAGTTCCTCACTTGATCTTGATTGTATCCCTCTGTAATTCAGCTTAGGATTGCATTGGCTTTTTTGGCTGCCGCTGCACACTGCTGGCTCATATTTAGCTGGTTCCCAACTTCCACCATTGACTTTACTTATCAGAAGCTACCTAAGAAGGTCACCATGGTGATAAGATGACCCCAAGACCTTTTAACTGTCATCAATAGACGCTGATTGCCAAGCCCCTGAAGTTTGATCATATGACCATAGGTGATAAGTGTGAAGATTGCTCGTAAGTCACTTTTTTCAGTGCCGTTGCAACTTGGAACAAATAACCATAGGTCAAGGACTACCTGTTTCATAGAAGATTCATTCTTTCTCACCTGCAATGAAAGGAGTTGAAGAAAGTTTCTTGATACTATATTTGCTAGGCACAGTTTACAGTTATTTACATTAAATGTTTGCATTAAAAGAAAATTACGTGAGCAAAAAATGTTTCTCGGTTAATTTTAAATCAGCTAAATGTTTTTAAAATTACGACCATGCAGGTTTCTTAGTATTAGAAATTCGGAGGAATGTATAATGCCCCTTTTTATGGGACACACCCAGAGGACTGCCATGTTTGGACAAGGGTTGCACTTTTACAGGTAATCAGTAAGAGAGCTCACCACCTCAACAGTAAAATGATTTATTGTGAAGTGTTTTGCACCTCCCGGAGGCTTTGTAGCAGTTCTGTCAAGACAAACACATCACACTTAGAGAAGTCAATCAAATTATTCTCCTGTTTCCATAGAAACAGCCCAGCAATTTTCTAACTTGTGTCCCCCTCAGGCACCTAACTATTTTAATTAAGCAACGTGTTTGGTATCCTTCGGAATTAACTTTTGTTAAATAAAAAAGGGGGAAAGATCCAGTCATTTAGATAAACGAGGAAGTAAATTAAGACCCTGGTATTTGAAGACACAAATTGTGATAGTTGGTACAGGTTGGATTTTGCCCCAGAAATCTGTTTGTGGCATTTTCTTGCGCAGGACAAATGTGTAGCGTAAAAAGCAGTGTTTTGTTTTAGAAAGCATGCTTTATGTTTGTGTGGTATAAATATAGGTGGGCCTACTTTTCAAATGGGTGTATTAGTTGACCATTAAGGTAATTTCAGTCTTATCGAGATTACTTTATAAAATCTGTGACCTTACAAAACAAAGCCTGCAAATTGCTCAGGGATTATACGGCAGTAATTACAACCTTGCATGAGTTTTGTTAGAAGATTTTAGCAGCTTTCGAACTGTTAAGGGAAAAAAACACACCTCCCTATTCTTAGTTCTCTTCCTAACAAATGAAATATGTTTTAATAGTCGTGCACGTGGTAAGACAAAATCCAAGTTCCCTTAAGGTGTTGAGCCACAAACTACTTGGTTGATATATTTTGCAAAACAGCTAGCAATACTGTGAAGTATCTTTTATTTTTTTGCCCGATGGAACAAAATGTGTGAGCAAAACATTTTTAATTGCCTGAACCTATGGCACTAGTTTTTCTCTCAATTTAAATCAACTTTCAAATAGTTCAGGTACAGAAATCAAATTCCATTGATGTATTAATCAACAGAGGAGACTTAGTTGGAAAGCGAGACTCAAGGGAATAAACATCTTAAGCCAAATCTTCTTAAAGAATACTTAATCATTGAATGAACTGGTCAGAGGTTTAGCAGCATAGCAATTTCAATTAAATGTATTTTAATCATCAGCTTAAAAAAAACTTTGAGGCAAATGGCCTGGCTTATTCATATTTTTTCCTTTGTTTCTTATTGCAAACAGTTGTCCTACTAACACAGTTTTAATTATTCTTTTAAGACTTAAATTGGGTCTCCTTGTGTCTATATACAGTTCAGCCTATTTTCAGTTACCACTCCAAAAGTAAATTATTAGACAGTTGTTTGCTAGTTGAGTTCTTCGTTACAGATAGTCCTCGACATATGAGCATAATTGAGCCCAAAATTTCTGTTGCTAACTGAAACATTTGTTAAGTGAATTTTGCTACAGTTGTTAAGTAAATCACTGCAGTCTTAAGTTACTAACACAATTGTTAAATGAATCTGGTTCTAATATTGACTTTGCTTGTCAGAAGGTTACAAAAGAGAATCATATGATCCTTATATGACACTGCAACCGTCATACATATGAGTCAGTTGCCAAGCATCCCAATTTTGATCATGTGGCCATGGGGATGCCGCAATGGCCATAAGTGTGGAAAATGGTCATAAGTCCCTCTTTTCAGGGCCGTGGTAACTTCAAACGGTCACTCAATGAAAAAGTTGTAAATCGAGGGACTATCTGTACTCATTTTTGAGAAGATGGGACGATCTTTGAAAACATGCCAGGGAAGGTGCAAATTCGACAGACAAAAAAAACCCCCGTTATTGGCAAAGTGTAAATGGATTCAAATTCGAAACGTTTCAAGCTCACGACGCCCTGCTTCTAACTTCAAACAGCTGCTCTAAGATTTCAGAAAGTGTTCTGAGCTCAAAATAGCATTGCAAAATCAGAAATGTGCAAATGTGCAAGTGTCAGAGCTCCTTCTCCTCCAAGGTATGAAGTTACACCTCCACCTTCCAGAAACTATTTAAGGCAGAATTGCAAGGGCATGGCTATTGGGTGATGGACCCAATCCAGAGTGGGTGCCATTAAAATTACTGAGAGCAATTTTGCGAATGCCCAAATGCGCTTCTTCTTAATGTAGATCGATGACTAGAATTGAGCATCACAAGGGCAGAAGCCTGAATTGGGTTCCTATTTTTACGTTGCAATCCAATCCAGTTAAAAACAAACAAACCTATCGACTGAAATTGATGGTTTAATTCACACAGTCCGATTGCCTTGACAGCTGGCCGGCCAGAGTCACTCACTGTTGAGTGAGGTGGGCAGCCTCTCAATTTGATCAAATAATTACAAACAACAAAGGACAGCATTTGTTCTTTATGGGAAAAAACGGCATTCAAGGTAAATTGGCTCTTTGTGGGTTTTTTTTTTTTTTCTGAGGCATGGTCCAATTGCCAAGATGCAGGGATGCAAAACATATTGGAGAACAATGTTCTGCCCATCAAATGGCAGAAAGGATCGATGAGGGGCCAGACAGTGGGCAACTATGGCAACTTTATGACTTTTTGGACTTCAACTCCCAGAATTCCCCTGAGCCAGCCATGACCACAGATCGTATGGATTCAAGACAACTTCCTCTTCCTCTTCCTCTTCCAATTTTTACCAGCCATTTCCAGAACATCACAGAACCTTTTTTCCCCCCAGCTGGGCTCAATATAGCATCTTCATCTTCATGAGTCTTGGTGGTACAGTGGTTAGAGTGCAGTACTGGAGGCTACTTCTGCTGTCAGCTGCCTGCAATTTGGCAGTTCAAATCCCACCAGGCTCAAAGTTGACTCAGCCTCCCATCCTTTTGAGATGGGTAAAATGAAGACCCAAAATTGTTGGGGCAAGAGGCTGACTCTATAAACAGCATAGAGAGGGCTATAAAGCACTGTGAAGCAGTATATAAGTCTAAGGTGCTATTGCTATTCAACTAGTATTGAGAGCAAATATTGTAAGATTCCCCTACAGTCTGAATATTTTTGGCACTCGTGTAAAAGAAGATGCAAGCTTTTTGTTTATTTCAATTTCTGTGGCGATTGGTAAATTACTTTAATCATGTTCCCCCTTTAAAAAAAAAAGGACAGATAAAGTGTATATTTCATTATTCTGAGCAGTGTAGGACTAATGTTGCATTTTGTGCAGCTAAATTTGGCTTAGCCTCTATCAGGGAACATGCATACTGAGGTTATTTCTGGCACGGTGCAATGCCTATCAAATAATTAGCATTCTGTTGTCTTTCTAATTAATAGCAAAAGAAAATACAATAAAGTCAGACTCCCAGATTTAACTCAACTCATTCCATTTAAGTCATACAAGCTAGTTCATCTTATGGTGAATATGGTACACTGTGTTACTTACCTGCCTAATTCAAACTAAAAAAAAATGCATCAGTCTGATAACTATTTATATATGTGAAGAACCTCACAAAATGCATATAAGCTATTAATTGTCAAATTGTTGCTTCTCAGGAATTTAACGTGGCACCAAATGCCGGATGCAGAACATGCAGTGTTTAAGCCTCATTCCCATGCATTCATCGATATGAATCAGGATTTCACAGCAGGTAAGTCTCCTTGAAACTTTTAAAAGTTTTCCTATGATGTAGATGCAAAATGGCAGCGAATATTAATCAAGAGGCATGCAAAAGTTTTTCGGTGAGGAATGCTGTCAGCAAGGTCGAAACAACCTATTTCCAATTCAAAATATTATGCTCATCTCTGATCTTGAAAAACTGGGGGAAAAATACATCAGATCCAATTAGATAAATTTATCCATTAGATAAAATCTGTGTTTGAAGGGGAGACCCCCTAGGAATTATCAACACTATTTACTTTTTAAAAAAATCCCAGAAGAAGGCAATGGCAAAAAAAAAACCCTTTCTATATTGTACTGCCGTAAAGTCATGAGAAGTTGAGCTCAGTACAAAGTAGGCATTCATCCGTCTTCATCAAGTGTTTCCTAAAATTGGCAACCTCGAGGCATGCGGACTTCAAATCTCAGAATTTCACCGACACCTGGGAGCTGACGTCTACCTATCTGAACATGACCGCCCATGACTCATGTTTGCTGAAAACCTGTTACACCCAAATGTCTTATAAGTGTCTATGGAGGTTCTCAATCCCTCCATGTCATGTGTTGTGGTTTGCCAGCAGCCAGTGCAGATGGCAGTGGAATCGGACAGTGGGGAAGAAAGGGGACCAGTTAGGGTGTCTGGAGGGGACTTGGATGAGAGTCCTGCATCCGATGCAGAGACAGGGCCTCCAGAGTCTGGCAGCAGCTAGGCAGAGGACCCAGGGGAGCCTGGTCCCAGTGTGTGTGTGTGCGAGCTGCTGTAAGGTGAGATCAGCTGAAACAGAAAGGGCGACTTGGGAGTAAGGCTCCCTCCCATAAGGGATAAAAGTCAGGCCAAGATAACAAAACCTTTGCAGGAAGCAAAGTAGTTCGATCGGTTCCGAGTCATCCTTGAAGCTCTGTGTACTTTGGTTGTTGTTTTTTCTTGTACTTCGGTTGGTTTCTTTTATAGTTAATTGGAGTTTTTGGCAGCATTCCACAAAACTGAAAGGTGTGTGCTTATCTTGGGGGACTGTTTAAGATTAATTCCGGCTGGGAATGAAAACAATTCCCAGCGTTGCAACAAAATAGGTTTTGCTTTTAAAACAGGTTTGTGAATAATTACAATTTACGAATCCTGGGTCTCAGAACATCATGATCAGCCCAAACATGCTTTTTCAAGAGGTGACTGTGCTTTGTTGTTGTTGTTGTTGTTTTCTTTGAAAACATTTAGCTTCTCATCTACAAGAAGCCTTTTCAGTTCTAACTGAAGTTTGAATACTTCAGATATTATATTAGTACTATTTAAAATTGGCTGAGTTGGCTGAGGGTCTTAACAGGAATCCCCCTTTTTCCATAATATCTGCTTTGTGGTTGTTCCTGCCGTACGCTCCATCACTGGGGGGTTTTAAGAAGAGATTGGACATTTGTCTGAACTGGTATAGGGTCTCCTGCTTTTGAGCAGGGGGTTGGACTAGATGACCTCCAAGGACCCACCCAAACTATATTATTCTGTTAAAAAAAAATTCTGAGACCTGCTAGAACTCCTTTCTCATCTAAATTCACATCTTCCTTCTTTCCTATTAATAAGTATTTTAAGGGGAAGAGTTTTTCTCTCTCTCTCTCTCTCTCTCTCTCTCTCTCTCTCTGAATAATGCTATCTGACCAAATTTTGTTCTTTCATTCTATTCTGTTCCGCTTAGACTTCTTCTGAATAGGCTATGCTATGCATACTATTGATAGAGTTGCTTGATTGTTAGATGGGCTGCTGTATAAATATGAGAAATAAATAAAGAGCTATACTCTGCTGCCTTGGGTTTCTCTCACATTAGGGGTTAATTTAATTTTTTGACCTCATATTGCAGTTAACATCACGATTCTCTTGCTTCAAAAAACGTTGCCCTTTTTTGGGTTTTTTAAAGCGCCAACTTTCAAAAAGGAGGCCAGGAATGCTTTTACGCTTGTCCTGTCGATATCCTAAACTATAATTAAAAATGGACAGAATCTCTCTCTTCCCCCCCGCCACCCCCCGTTTCCAATATTCCAAGTTAATCCAAACAGAGGAATGTTAACAACTTTTAACACCATGCCAGCGTTGTTGCGTTGAAACAATACAACGTGTCAAGATTTATAACAACATAATCAAAAGGGAAACAAACCAACAAAAATGGAAAGGCAGCTTCCTGATTCCAATTGACATGAGCATGACTCTGTTATTAGGCATTTTTAATCTCAAAAACTTTGCCAGGTTTTGCACTTTCCTCCATGATATCAGGGAATTTTCTTTTGGTTAGTAGGTAACGAAGGGAGATCACAGATCTCATCTGATTGATTACGAGAGTTCTTGCATTATCCGCCTCTGTAGGATCCTTGTGCCTTGTTGATTTCCCTTCACCTTTTCCCACCTCGGTGATTATTGTGATTATTAAGAGTGTGATTCTCCCAGGTTCTTTCATCTTCCAGCTTTAAAAGAACCCTGACTTGGTTTCCCCACCTCCTTCTCTTTGCTTTTTTGTTCTGGATCTGTTTGAATGTCTCCTTTGATTTGGTTTTGGCTTTCTTATCTCTCTGTATGTTTCACGTTTTTAATCCCGTTTTTTTTTTCTGCAATGTGTTTAAGAAAAAAAAAACCCAGCTCATGGACGCGGTGATATCACAAGTGATGAATCAATACGATTTTATTGATTATAGTGGGTTGGATTATGGCGGAGAGATAAATACAATGACTGAAAAGGCTTCAGGGGGAATAAAAAAAGTGGAATTGGAGGAAAGAAATTGTTTGAAAGATCAAAGGCAAAGCGGAGGGGGGAAAAACCTCAAAACCAGGTTGTTCTACATATAGAGAACGTTTTCTTTCTTTCTTTTGCAAATGGGCCAAAAATAATAAAAGTAGCTAAACTGTTTTTGATAGTGATCTTATTATAACATTTAAAGTATGTATGGAAAAAGGAGGTGAGGGGAATCATTTTTACTTGCAACATTTTATGCCAAGTTTGGGGTTTTTTTCCCCCAATAATATATTGCATACTGCTGTTTTACCACCCACTTTCCTAACTGGTATATTTACTTAGCTGAGATCTAACGAGCTGTTTCTACAGTCCTTCCAATCTGTTTGGGAATTGTATTGGTTACCTAACCAAAATTATGCATGTAATGTATTTTGGGGTATAAGAACATCTGTTGTTCAGAAAAGGAACATGTTGAGACACTTGGAAGTAACTTTCTGGATTCTTTATCTTTTTCTAAGATATATCTTTTCTACATATAATATATGTCCCAATTTTGGTGATATTGTATGATATTGAACCATAATTCTGTGTCTTAAAATATGTTCCTGAAACCATAGAATATTTTTCTTTGTTTAACATTTCCATTATTTTTTGTATTTCACTATCCTTATTACCTCTTTTCCATTATCCATCTGTCCATCTGTCACCTATCATCCATCTGTCTGTCTGTCTGTCTGTCTATCTATCTATCTATCTATCTATCTATCTATCTATCTATCTATCTATCTATCTATCTATCTCCCCGTATTCTTTGTCTAAGGCACTATGACATGCAGTTAATGCTATTTAAGTAATTTGTCCCTTCAATGAACATTTCAAAATGAAATTGCTTTTAACAGTATTGATAGCACAGGTATCTTAAGGGAGCTTTATCCCTTTACAGTCATTTATCCATCCATCTGGTTTACATGCTGCTTTGATGAGAACCATCTCTGGGCGGCTTATGGGGTTTAATACAGTAATAGGATTAAAACATAAATTCCATAAAGAAATTCTCCATGCCCCGAGGAACATTCAAATGCAAATGCTTTCCTTGCATGGGGGGTAGGAGAGGGAGGGGAGGGGGACAATTTCAATCCAACCCTGGAAGCTCTTTGAAAATGTCAGATTTTGCTTCTGCTGTTGCCTTTTTCTCTTCCTTCTCCTTCTCCTCTTTCATCTCCTCCTCCTTTTCCTTCATCTCTTTCTCCTTTTTTTCCTCCTTCCCTTTCCTTTCCTTTTCTTTCTCTTTCTCTTCCCTCATCTTTTCATTTTCCTCCTCCTCCCTTTTCTCTTTTCCCTTCTCATTTCTTTCTCCTCCTCCTCCTCCTCTTCCGAACTGGAGCCAATCAGATCTGCAGAAAAATTCTACTCCAGAGAAGGAGAGTATTGACTGAGAAAGCCCATCCCAATAACCCATGTAAATAACACTCCCTAGTATGTATGTGTGCTAATCATTATTGACACAGTTTTTCTATTTTTTTTAAAAAAAAAACCTGACTTTAACTCTAATGCTTCTTCATCTTTGATTAATGTCAAGTAATATTGATCTACTCTGCCCCACTTGGAGAGCATAGTACATATTGTCTACAGCCCAAGGAATTGCAGTGTTGTTATTGGGTTTTTTTTTAGCAGAAACAGATTTATAGCTGTGTGTTGCTAAAGACATTCACCAAGGGTTTATATATGGGTGTTGAGATAACAAAATGTAAAAAAATAAAGTCAACCTTTTCTTAATAATTGGGAGCTGCCATGTATTCTTGAATATGAAATGCTCACAGTTTAAACTAATGGAATCCTTATAGATACAAGTCAGAGGTACATAAGGCTTATAAGGAAATGGTTTATATTCACAGAGTTTGGGAAGACTGCATGTATTTTTCTCAACTTAACGTTGCATGTATGTATTTCTTCGCTTAACGTTGCTTACTCAACCCTTCTGGACTAAAAAAAAATCCTTTGTAAATGTGAGAGAGGGGAGGTGCCTTTATTGTCAGCTATATTTGTGCTCAGAAGTTCAGTCTCTCTTGGTTTTGCTGCATTCTTTTTTTTTTTCACCTTACGTTGACATAGCTTAATTTTGTGATTAGCCTGTCTTTAGTCAAACAGCAAAGTGGCAATTACATTGCTGCAGTCTCTTAGCAGATCCACCCCTCGACTGCCAATCCTTACAGAACTAAAACAACACAATATACTTGGAGGCTTCCTAAGCCGTGAAGAAATGCAAAAAACAAATAAATAATAA